TTGTATATTCTGCTAACTTTAAATAATGCAGATGATTTTTATTCAGTTGTCCTCTCCTGGCCTTGCCCCACTGAGATCACTGTTAATTAGACACTACATTAAAACAGCAATGTCTTTATAGCTGTTAATGTTGCTGTCTATATTATCAGGATGGCTCCAAAGCAAGAACATGCTGAGAATTTAATAAGATGACTGGTAGTTGAGGAGCAGATATTAATGTGCTGTAAAACATCTCATATGACACTTTTTTAAATAAGTGGCCATATCATGGACGGAAGAGGATGATGCAATTCATGGCCAAAACAGAATTAACCAGTTCAGCTGCTGAGAACTTTTCCCCTCCCTTTCAGGACTTTTAAATTAAAGTGAGGGGTTCAAGGGCCATACACAGAAAGGTTTCAAAGTCTCTCGTTCATGTTTACTCTGTGTCACAAGGATGTGGATTGGCACTGTTAGAAAACATTAGCGATGAATTTGATTTTGATACTGCTGAGTTGTAAAGTATGATAGAGGCATTTCTGGGGGAGAAGAAAACGTCTGCTGGGAGAGTCAGTGCCTAGAGCCAGGCTCAGGCACAGGGCTTGGCTGGACACAGCTCCCTGCCCTGCTGCCTTTGGGGAAGAGAGGGAGGGCTCGAAGCAACCCATCAGGCTCTAGTGGGCAAAAGATTCTGTATTTATTCATGCTTTTTTTTTTTTTTTCTTTTTTCATTTTTTTGCTCTTCCACATGACTGCCAGCTAGAAATTAAAATTGGGAAGAAAAAAATTGGTAAATCATGGATCTTTTGACATTTTCAAGATTGAAATGTATTTCAATCAGTGTTATTTCTACTGCTGTTGTCACAGTGAACCCACTCTTTTCTTTTTTGAAAGAAATAGTTCGCTGGAATTAATCTAAGAAAATAGGATATTTTTCAATAAAATGAAATTTCAATTTAAAGTGGGTAAAACCTTGTTCAAATGTCTCTGCTGCCTGCAGACGCTGACTGCTCTTTGTGCAAGCCTCCTTGCAGCACGGACTAGAACAAATCCCAGAGGGCAGCGCCCTGTGCTGCGGGTGGCTGCCTTACAGATAACGTTGGACATGAAGCGGGCTGCAGAGAAGCAGTGCCAGTCTTTCCACTGATAAAGCTTTCCTTTGAAGCTCTTGAGCTGTTATTTTGTCTGCCTGTGTACTGTTGAAGAGCATTGTGTACGTTTAGTGGCATAAATAAATAAATAAAGCCTTGCACATTTATCTCTGATGAAGGCTTGCTGTAAATTTAAATGCAAATGAAGCTCAGCTCCTGGTGAGGTGCCAGTGCAGCCTTCAGGGATGTTTGGGTTGGGCACTGCAAGTCTTACCCTTAGGAATTCTTTCCTGATACCCAGACCAAACTTTTTTTTCACCCTTCGTTTAATCTCCTTACTAGAGTTATAACAATTATCAGTCACTGAGACTGCTGCATATTTCAGCGATATTTTAGTCTTGTAATTACAATAGGAAAACTTTTCACTCCTTGCTTTGCATTGCTGGGTGGAACTGGACATGAAAGTGAATTTAAATACTTTGTTCTTGAGTAATAGTAATAAGAGGTACTCATTCCTTCAGGTCCTATAAATGCATAAGAGGAACAGCGATCTAGTTCTGTAGAAACTGTTGATGTATGGTAATTCTCTGTATGCTGAAGATACTGAATGATACTGTGAACCATTTTTTGCCACTTTCCTTTCCTAAGGAAAAAAAATAAAGTCATTATGCATTGTATACACTTCAGTGTTCTTCTGCATACGGGGATTAAATTACAAACTGTTTTCAACATTGCTTATGAATTTAAAGACTGGAAAAGAAAAGATCTTCCTTTGGGTTATGGGTTTTGATTATATCTTTCTAATTGCACACATCTACTGAGATTACATCACATATTCCGCAGACATGACCAAAGAGTATGGCTCAAGATTTATGAGATAAACATTAAAGTGCAAATGCATAACTGCAGAGTAATGTAATGTCAGTTAGGAAAATTGGGCTGAGACTTCCAGACTAACCACAAGTGGGGAAAAATGCACTTTTTCCTTCATCTGCTATATATTAGGGATTGCATTTTACAGATGATTCTGTGGGCATCGTACTGCTCTTTGCCAGCATTTGTGCATAAAGTGATATTTCTGGAATCATCCTAATGGTGGGAGTAACTGCAGGGAATTGTTGTGGGATTTTTTTGAAATATTTTATATATGAATACATAAAAGCAGTGGCTGTACTTTTCTTATTATGCTCAGTGGCTTCTATAATCCAGAACTGCCATTCTTTTGCTGCGCAGCTATTAACTGTAGGTACAATATTTTTCTTGTTCTGCTGAGGTTGAGCAAGATGCATTTGGTTTCCGTTTGATCATGACCGTGTCACTTGAGCTGTCAAAAGTTTGAGCTATGGCTTAATGTGGGGAAAAGAAAAAATATAACTCCAAATTTCTCCAGAGCCTAGATCAGATTCAGAGCCTTTAGATGGGGCAAGTACCATCATCCACGTGCTGGTAGGGAGTATCACACCTGGTTAGAAAGAGTGCTCTGGCTCCTGTAGAGCAAAATGCAGAACAGGAAAAGGGATTTCTGCTTTGCAAAGAAAGATGTTGCTAATCTATAGTTTTTCACTGACTAAGGCTTCCAGTTCCTATCATTTCCTGTTGTGGTATGGGGGCAATTTGCCTTGCATTTCAGCAAATTAGTGCACCTGCTGGAATATTGCCTCTGCAGCTCCTGCTGAGCCATTTCAAGCACTCCTAATGCAGTCATTTGTATCAGAAGGGTGGCAGAATGGGGCTTTTTAGCTTGCAAACCTGCTAGGATGTACCACTGTATTTCAGACACTGAGGGCAAGCTGTCTAGGTAGTAAAGCTCTAAAATATTGCAAATAAAATAAAAACACTTATTTCAGGAAAGAAATAATTCCGAAGCATCTACTTCCATTTTAATATTCATTTAGTTCTGAATGCCAGTTAGATCTATATAATCATTTTGACCTCATTTTTTTTTTTTTCCAATTTGAGTTCCTAATGTTAAGCATCTAAAACTATATTTAGACATCTCAGTGAAAGTGGCCTGATTTTTAAAGGTGCTGAGCAATTACAGGGATGGGAGAAGTGTGATAGTTTTTGTCCTGGATTCCTAGGCTTAAAAAATTAACACAAGAGCTTGTTGTTGGAGAGTATCAGCCTATGAGCTATTTTAAAAGACTGAAATCATATGACATTGCATGGTAATGGCAATTTATCCTTTAAGTAGAAAAAAGTTGACTGTGGATATTCAAATAAAAACTCGTAAAATTTGAATGTTAAAAGGAAAAAAAAAAAAACTTGAAATAAATTTTTACATTGTGGAATATGAAAATCCAATATTATAAATAAATAAGGCATTAAAAAAATCTTGTTAGTCCCATGTCTGACCTCAAGCATTTTGTTTTAATCATTATAAAATCTGGAAATTAGGGCATACGATGGAAACACCAACACCCCTTCAATTGTTAATGGCAGAAGATTGCTACTTAAGCAGCACAGTTATTTCTATAGACCTGGGCAATGCCTTTAACTGCAGGCGGTCTTCACATCTGGTGAACCCTCATTTGTGCATAGGACATTTTAAATGACTGCATCTCTTTCCATTTTAGCAGTTAATGGCGGGCATTTAGTTTTCATAATGTTGACTCTAGCATTCTTCAATGATCTCTGCATATGTTTGATTTATGGCCTTCTTATGGCTCCAGTGAGTTGACACAAATTGTTTGGGAAAAATCTGAAAATGACAAAGAAAATCACTTTTTCCTTGCGGCACATGTTTTGAGCCTCTTGCTTTGTTTTGTTTTCATTTCCTTGGGTGAATGTTAAGTGCCCAATGTCATGTGTATGTTTTTCAGGTATGCTAAAGACTGATTTATTTTTACTTTGCCATAACATCAAATGGCCATAAATGGATCTGAAAACTCCCTGAGAGTACGTCCTGTGGGAGAACCTCACAAGGTGTTTTGGAGCCCAAACTAGGAACTTTTTTATTTTTTGGGAAATTGCATTTGTAAGTGTTGTGGTCAGTTGGGCATAGCATTGGGATGGGCAAATTGCTGAGCACTGTAAATAGGTAAAGCTCAGCATTACGTGGTTAGGTGGGGCTGTGGAAACTGTAGAGAGCCTGTGTACATATTGTAATGGCTTTATTCCTGCTGCATGGGCCTTGCTTTCCCTCTTTGTGTGCTTCTAAAGGGAGAGAATGTTCTGCTTCAGCCTTGGTCAAAGAGGTGTCTGAGAAACTGATTTCTCTTTTTCGAAAAACTTTCCTTTATCTCTATACATTGTCTAAACCTCCTGTAGAGGTTTAAATGTAGAGATTTTTCCAGAGGTGATGACTTTTCATCAAAAAGATGACTTGGGTTACCCTAGAGTGTGAGCTTTATTAAGGAAGAGCATTCTGGCTCCCAGATCCATTTTCAGCCACAGGTGGACAAGAGCTCGCTACCTGCATGGAGCCAAGAGCCAGCACCAAAGGGATGCTTGAGGAGGACAGGAGTGAAATTTTTGAAACAAGTCTGCAACAGAAAGATTTGTCTGCTCTGTTTTATAGCAGGCAACAGAGAGCTCTCTGAATGACCTCTCATATATGAGAAACACAAGATATTTTAAAGGTCACTGCCAAATATAGCAGAGTAACACAGAATCAGGCCCATTACTTCTCCCTCATTCCAACAGCATGATGCTTCCCAGCAGCACAGGTACCACCAATTACTTTCTATTCCTAAATGCAAGCTGACATGATGTCTAAACCTCACTGTTCTCTCATTCTTGCTTCAGGTTTAACTCCAATTTTCTTGAAGGCTGAATTTTAGTGCTGTAAGCAAACATTTACAAACACATACTTGCATTTAAATATGTTATTCCCAAATGCTGAACTCAAAACTGATCTCTGCTACTGGCTGATGCAAGGAGGAGCTAATGGGAGGGTCATCAGGAGGATGGAAGAATACAGCTGGCATATGTTTCTCAACAGCTTGGGGAGCACTTATAGTGAGGATACTGCTCCTAATGTGCATGTGAAAGCAAATCTGGCAAAAGAAGAGTGGAGAAGAGGACCATGCTGAATTAGTGGTACTTCATTGCTTTTGTTGTTATCAATTATTTGTAAATCTGGGTGTGAGATGTAGCTTAAAAATAAGTGCAACTACCAAACCACCTTTTGCTTGGGAGGGCAGCTAACATAACATACCGCTCTACTGGCCTGCAAAAATGTAACAGTGGAGGATTTGTGTTGCCTGTTTGTGTTCTCTGAATGACACTGAGTCATAAAAGGTTCAGCTGAGGTGGCTACCCACAGAGAGGCATGGAGAAACAATATTTCCCTTCAGTAATAAAGTGACTTTGGAGAAAATATGTATTTTATTAAAAAGCTTGATTAAAGCAGACTTTCATTGCAACAGAAAAAGGGCTGAATACAGCATGGATGAGGTTGCGCAGTTGCTGACTTGTATGAACACCCTGGCATCTTGGGAAGGGGAGCAGTGGCCCTTTGCAGTGTAAAGATTGCTCAGCAGTTTGTGGAGTTTAGTAGCGTGCACTGAACATGCGACAGCTGAATGTAAGAGGAGTCTTTTTCAAGTGTACTGGAGCTTACTCAGACCAGGAAGAGTTTTTGAAGAAGTCACTGCCCACAGCTTTTTTAGCTGACATCCGGTCTAAAGTTGAACAAAAGGGGGAGGAAAATTTTATATTACTGGAAGATATTTTTTTTAATGAAGTTAGAAACAAGAAGAATCTTTGTGCTCTGCAGCCTGTCTTGTAATCTTCAGCAAAGAATGAGTAACATTATGGCATAAAACCTGATTAAGCTGGGGCAATCTGTCTTCCAAGCAACCTTTTATGGGCCAGATCTTGATCCATTTATTTCCTATGCTCAAAGTTATTGCCATGGCATCATTAAGCACTATGCATGCTGTTGGTGTTCCATAAATAGGAATAATTGTTGTTCTAGCCAGAAGGCTGGTCTGCTCCCAGCCCTTGTGCTAGGGAGATAGTAGGATTAAAATGAGCTTTTAGATCCTGGGAAGTTGAAAGAGCGCTTTCTGGAAACTGTCTTGTGTGCATTATCATGTTTTTAGGCCAACAAATGTATTTAGCTTATTTCTTTCAGGGCATCTGCAGGAGGACAAATTTTCTTCAGTTTGGTTTGCTTTAATACAGAATATCTGTGAACTTTTTGAGATGGCAGTTGGAAAGTGGGTATTTTGAACTACTGCAAGGTATAGCATTAGTACTTGTAAAATATAATCCTAGAAGCTCTGTGCCTCAAAATATATCACCAATTTAGTATATAACCTAAACGTTTATCCATGAGTTTCTCTGACATAACTCATTTTACTGCTTATACTGATACTCAATTTATAAACAGCTTGCTATTTACAACGGATGTTTCTAAGTGGTTTTATGCTGATTGAGAACTAAAAAGGCACTACTATAATTGTTTTACAGCACACAAGAAGGAAATCCCAGCAAAAGACTAATTTAGCTCATTTTCTTGTGCTCTTCTCCTTACAGAACTTGACCAACCACCAATAGATTCATGCTTACTGCAGACAGTAAAACTAATTATGCTAAGCAGATAAGAAAAGCTCCTATTGTTGTGGTCTATCTTCAAAGCAATCACTTTCCTTGACAAAATGCAGCCAGGATCTGGAAACAGTGACCACCCTTAAAATCCATTTACTGAAGTACTCACTTCAAGGGAAGTCACCTTGGTGTATTTTCCTAACAATCTGGGGACATTTCATATATTTAAATACTTGGATTTGTCTTCAATGAACTGGTCTGAGTTGTCTACCAGAACTATTAGATCATATTAAATCAATACTTGAATGTACTGTACAAGTATGCAGCGTGCAGTGTATATTGGAAAAAATTAAGCTAACACTCTGAGCTAAATCCCTATTCATTTGATATTCAAATGCCTTATAGGCATAGACGAAGGTGAAAAGCTTGTTCTGTTTTGATCATCTTCTAACTCTCCTGATTGTGGTCAGATGGGAGGTAAAAAGGCTCCTCCTAACTAAACAGTGAGGCAGTAGGCTCATGCAGTGTATAGAAGGATTTTCTTTGCTCCACCTTAAGGCTTTTGTCACTGGTGGTACTTGGCTGCCTGCTCTAGAGTATCTTTCCAGTGGCTGTGCATCCTTTATAAATCTGGGTCTCAGATCCGGTCTTCTTGTTTCTATAGAGGTTTGCTGTTCCTTATGAAAAATACAAGGCCTGACTTTTGTCTGTGGGCCAGGTGACTTGATCGTAACCAGCCACAGGAATTTTTTTGCTCTTGTAAACTGTTTACAAAGAGTATAAGCATAAAGGAAAGTGTGCTACTTGTTTTTAAGATTGGTAGAATTGTTTTTAATCAATACTCTATCTCTTGTTTCCAAAGGAAGAGAAATTTTAAACTTGTCCAGGACTGAACAGAAGAATCTAGAATAAATTCATTGTTGTTTTAAGTTTGTCGTTGCATGCAGTTATGACAATGTCTCCTCATGACTTCATTCCAGTTCATTTTGAAAGATGTTTGTATGGGTGAAATGAGTCTGAGTTGCTGAAATGCATCAAGGCGTGTTAACTCCAACAGGCTTTTGTTCAGTAGCAGCTTTTTAGTTCACCTTTGCTTTCTTTTTCCTTCTTACATTGCAAAGAACACAGGGAAAATACCCTCTGGTTCCCTTGCAGTCGCTGCTAGGCAGTGAGCAAGTCTTCCTTTCCTTCGGAGGGAGAAGGATGATGGCATGCACTAAAGAAAGTGCTGTTGATGTTTAACATGTTAGTTTGCAAGCAATATTAGACATCCAGGACTTGAAACAGAAAGTCATTATGCATTTACGCTTCCCACTGCATTGAGTTGCCTGAAGTCCAGTCATGTGTTTCAAATGGTACTGTTAAGAAAAAAATTGGGTTGTAAGTTCAAACATAGTTAAGTGTTAACTGAAGGCTAATAACAGTTCATTTGTGAGATTAGATCTGGTTTCCTTGGTCTTCTCTGCTCTTTTGCATAGTGTGTAGTCCCTTTACTGTGCAAACACATTTTATTGTTATGGGCCCGAAGCTACAGTAACGCAAACACACATGAGATTTACTTCAGTTTTACAGTTTGTCTTACTAGGCGTAATGTGAGGAAACTTAAGTATGTGCTCAAGTGTTTGTTGTATTAAGTTAGGACTTACCCATTTTCAAATGTTTCAGTGCAAAACTTATAGTTAAAACCAAATTTTTGTCCTTTTTCAAAAGTGCACAGATTTAATTGTTACAAATAGCTTGTTATTAGGAGTTGTCTGGATTTAATATAAGCCAAACAAAATAATGCATTTGACTTTTTAAATGCTGTGGTAATTTTTATTTTGTATTATGGCTTTTATTTTAAACAAAAGTTACAACATTTCCCAATGCAAATGCTAATTTAAGCAAGCAGAAATTCTGCAAAGATTTTACAACAGATTTTACAACTGTAGTACTTTAATTCATCTGAGGAGCTTAATGGCTTCAAGAAAAAAAACACTACCATCTTCAGTAGTAGATAAAAAGGAATGTTTATAGACTTTTTTTTTTTTAAAGAAGTTAGAGCCCATTCCAGCTAGGGTTTTGTGTTCTTGCAACTAACTATAGTGAGTGCTCCACTCTTCTGGAGAAGCCGACCTGAACTGCTTTGCAAATGTGGCTGGAACGAGCTGGCTCAGAACTAGGTCAGGCCTGGCTCTGGGGCAAAGCCCTGTGTGCCTGGTGCCATAACTGCTGTCCCTCCTCTGTAAGGTTTGAGCAGTGCTTGAAGACACTGTACTTATGAGAGTTACCAGTGTGCCCTGCACTAGCCTTGATGCAATTGCTGCTGTGGTGGAATAGGTGGGGAAGACCTGGAGAAAGCAAACCGTTTTTCCTGGGGTTAAAGTAATGTGGAGAAAATTCTGTAGGAAGTCATGGAAGAGATGAAGGGTAGATGACATTGTGTTGGGGAACAATGAGAAGAGAGATTATTTTCCAGAAACCTTTATCCATCTTGGAGAATAACTAATAAGCAAGTAATTACATTCATTCAAGCTTGCTAGCCCATTTACCCAAAGGCAAAGTATAATGATTTCCTAAATGATTTCATTCATAAAATGCTTAAATGGGTAAAGTAATTTTACATGGGTACTGAAGAAGGATTCCATTGTCTTTCTCACAGTATGATGTGTGAATGAGGAAGGAGAGAGTAAAAGTTTCAAGCTATCAGAAAGAAATGACATTCAGTCTGCTTCTGGGTCTGCTCCTGTTCAGCCAGGCAATTTTAGCTGGCTGAGACTCTTCACTAGTCTTGAGATAGTAATGCTGCGGCTGTGATTACCTGAGAGAAGTGAAGTCCTTTGGAGAAGGCACAGCTATGTGTTAGATGACTTAATGTAGCTGGAGTAAGTGAAACCTCTTCCTGAAACCTCTCAGTGGAAGATGCCTTTCTTGGCAGAACACCAGGACGACAATCCCTCCTTCGCCTCTGAACTGCTATCCCAGATGTCTGCCCCTTATATAGCAACCCAGCATGTGAAGCCTCACATGTGTTAAGAAGCCTAGCAGAGGTGCCTAGGTGCTTGCAGAAATGAGAATAAATAGTATAAGTTGTCACCTGGGTGCTGAAATGCAGGGATGAATCAATTTTTTTATCCTTAATAAAATTGAATCCACTGTTAAGAAAACCACTGAAGCTTGAGACATTCATCAAGTCCTCTTTGTTATCAGCTGTCTGTGTCTTCCCTTGTGTAATATCATGTGTTAGGTCTCCAATTAGCCATATAATTTTCCAGGGTCAACCTGTTCTAAGTGTAAAATATTCAAGGAAAAGCCATGTATCTGTCAATAAACCTTCCATGTAATTCCCTGTTTGATAGATTTTACCTGATACTGCTGTTGGATGTTAGCAGATCTTCCAGATCACAGAGGTGTTGAGCACAGGCTCTTGCTGGGCATGTCTAATGGTGAAGGGTTTTGTGAAGGTGAGCTGTTGGTGTAAGGTGGAGGGACCCTTGCTGCCTCAGGCAGAGGTATCTGCAGGGTAATGCCTGGCAGTGGCTGCAGCACTGTGACCCTTCATTTGG